CTACAGTGCCTATTACACTAGCATTGATTGAAAATTCAGGGAAAATCTATTACAAACATTCCTTTTTAAAATAAATTTATTTGAAAGATGCATTCATTCTATAAAATAAGCTTTCCAAATGTTGTTCTTATATAGTATCTTTCCAAGGCTATCATGTTATCTGGATTTCATTTTGGTTTCTATCTCAGAAAAAGATCATCCCCCTTCATTCTTGCATATTTTTTTCTGGCAGAATTAAAAAACCTTTTGTGAATTATATTTCTGGACAAAGTAGATAACTCTGACATTCTTAGTGATGGCATTACCATGACATTTTTAGGCACTTTGGGCAACATTTGTGAAGATTATAATGCATTTCCATTCCACTATGTACTCATGGCCTAAGAAGAAAACTTCCATTTTCATTCAAAAGGCAGAATTTTGAACTTTCTAAAGCATTGGAACTATATGCTTACATCATCAAATTTGAATGCAAAAATAATTATTTTATTTGAATAACGTTTTTGGTGTTCCTGATATGCTAAGAAAAAACTAAAAAAAAATCTAAACTATCTTCACAAATCTAAACAACATTAACATATAACAAATTCTTTTCTGTACATCAGTTGATTTAATCTCTCTTCATTGCATCTCTCATGCTTTGTCACACAAGTGGAACACTGAAATAAATCAACCATTTATTTGCTTTATTGCATAAATCTCAGAACAGTAAAATAGAATTGATCACACAAAAAAAGATTAAGATAGGTTTCAGTGAATCCTTGAAACACTAAATTAATCATGCAAGCTGATATTATATTTCCCAAGGGAAATATATTTTAATAGATCTTTTCCAAATATTTTCCTCCTTTAATATATTTATAAATATTGTTACTACTCTTGCATTTTTCTAAGATGATTAAACCATTATTTTTCCCTAGCCTTGTGTGTGGAAAAACAAGTCAAAAAATTTCTTTATTACTTATAAAAATATGCAACAAAATAACTGGGAAATTTAAAATGAAGCTATGTGTATATCTTCAGCAAAAATATGTATTCCCAAACTTTTTTTAGACCAAAATTGATGACATTGCAAGAGGATCCACAAAAATGGAAAGCCACCCTATATGTAGCATAAAATGTTACCCTGAGACAAGTTTCAAAGAAATGAAAGAAAATTGAACTTGTCAGTTCATCCTTTGCATTACTTGATACTGTCCATAATATAGTATTTTAAATAATTAAAAATTTGCTTCATTCATTTCAAAGCTGTTTGATTTCTAATACTAGAAAATATAGTTTAAATTCTCATTTGGAAAGTACGGATTTAATGATTTTATGTTCAAAAATGTAATTTAAAACAGGACTGCTACGAGCTCACAAATAGCTCCTGTGTGAATGCTGTCATCTTCATTGCTGTCTCCCTTTTTAATTGCTCTTGAGATCCTATACTAAATCTTTCCAATGTCTACAGATTTGTGTAAATCATCATAATCTTGTTCTAAGATAGTTACCATTCTGAGAAGACTGAAACAAAACATGAGCATTTCTGTACTTGTCCTCACAATTGAAATTGACATCAACAAAAGGAGGGAACTGGGTTAAACTATGACTGGAAATGAAAGCACTTTCCCAGTCCTCAGTCTTAATTAACTAAATCTGACTAGTTTATTATGGAAATATGAGATTAAAGCATCTGAAACCTGTGATAGACTAGGTAGTGTTAATTCCTTTAATAAAGCAAACATATATGATGGTTTTAGTTTGCTGGAAGTCTAATAGCTCCACTCTGTATGGGCACATCTGCTTGGCTCCTAACCATCAGCCCTTAAAAGGAAGTCTGGTGCTCATGGTTGTTGTTGCTATTGTTGTTATTATTATTGTTGTTGTTGTTGATGATGATAATAATACTAATATCATAAATATAATTGCTGCTGCTGCTGATGATGATCTCACCAATACTATTTTCCTTTCTGACAAACAGCTGGCTGATAAATCCAGGTTGAAACACAACATTGTCACATAGTCAAAGTCATCATGAGGCTCTTTCACCAGAAAGATGTTTATGTGAATGGAAATCATGCATGATTTTTGGCATAGAACAAGGCCAGCAAACTTTGTACCTGGTTTCAGAGTACAAACTAAGGGCTACTTGTGACGAGTGAAATGGATAGGGTGAAACCTAAGACAAACTAGTAACACCATGGAAAATAACATTGAACTTTGCTGCACAGGGTAGATGTTTCCAGTAGGATTTCTACAGGATCCTGTAATAAAAGTATTATCTTTATTCTTCTATAATGTAGTTTGGTTTTCAGTGTTATTGAAAGGAAATCCAAACAGATTAAGAGTATGGTAAATGTTTGTTGCAGTATTTTGCCTTGTTACCATAATTTGAAGTGACTGATCCCTCATCAGCTTCAGACAAAAGAGGGCACATGTAAAGTAAAAACAAAAGAATTAAACAGGGCAGTTGATTGCAATAGTAAGCCAGTGTTAATCTGCTAACTCTTTCACTTTGATTAGTAAACTTTCCAGACAGAGAAATAAAGGTGTGGTCTCATTATACTCTATGCCATGGTTCACTCTTAGACTTTTTAATTCTTCTCCAGGTTTCTTGCACCATACACAGTTGCTTATCCACTTGTTTCAAATCTAATTATGGTGCAATCAAAGAAGGAAGTGGAACAGTTCAATGATCTGATAGAAAATTAACTCATTAAAAAAAAAGGAAAAAAGACTTTCTGTCAGAGCAGTGAGCTCAACTGATTTATGCACACAATTGCTAGTTGCAAGAGATGGACATGAATTTTCAGCCAGGCCTAGAAGAGCTTCCTTTTCAGAGGCAATATAGCTGTACTGAATCAGGTACAATGTCACAGTAAATTCTGAGAAAGATAAATACAAGGCTAATGACTAGATGTAATGTGATAGGAAAACAATGATTAGAAGTTGTCTTGACACTTTAACATAAGCAAAATATAATGGTTGCTTTCGTAAAGACTTTGAATATACAGGACTCAAAGTAGATGATTTTATCAGGTCTGTAGGTCTACCATATTTGAATTGGGCTAAGAACCATAACCTTAAACAGAAGGTTTTACTATATTTGAAGCATTTATAAGATGATTTAAAACAATGCCTTTTCCATGAGGACTGTGTTTCTCATCTTCCCAGGGACCAGCTAGCTGTATGCAGACTACTATATGTTTCATAATATAATCATTACTTAACTAATATAATTGAACTCTACTAAGCTAAGTGGTCTTCTTAGCTTTTACTACTCTCCTTCTTTTTTTGATCTGATGTATTGCTTCCCACAGATTTGAAATGGAAAGTTTTGAAGACAAGTAATTTCTCTTGTCTTATGTGTAAAAGAGCTGAAATAATGGTTGTTGATCATATTAGATTATTCCTATATTAATCATTTGATTAATAATTTTGTGTTGATTTTTTCTTATTAATAGGAAAAGCAATAGCTGATACCAAGGTTCAAGAAAGTAATTTATAATTTTAAAGAGAATTCACAAGTCATTCACCATCTTTGCAACATGTTCCAAATAAAGTTTAATGATGAAGAGAAGTGTTGGCCTTCAGCCCTTTTTATTTAATGAGCTAACAATGCTTCACTTTCTTGGCCAGCACTGAGAACATTTTGATTTACAGTGGATAAAACTGGATAAAATGTTTACAGCTTAAACTGGAAAATCTTTCTTCACAGACAGACTAAGCATATCCAGCTCCTTGCTAAAGAACTTTGAATCTATTTTCTTATCAGAGGTCAAGCTTGTCAACTATTTTTGCAATGGTTCAACCTCTCATGCACTTTCCACAGCACCTGGAAAGGATTAGTGAATAACCTCTTTCCACTATGGAGATCAAGAGTTAAAAGACTCTCACAGTGGCCTCTGAAGTTCCCTCAGATTATGATTAATGAGTTCATTCTATTTTCCTGATGGCTCTTCAGTTCCCTCACTATAGGCTGGGTTGAGAGAAACCCATTTCTTTGCTTGAAAGAAAACTAACTTCCAAGTATTTGATGGCTACTACAGTTTTGCTGTACAGCACACCCCACTTCAGAGTATTTGTTCAGTCAACATGACCAAGATATCTGAGTAAACACACCAGATGAATACAAGCAGGAAAAAGCAAGGGAACATGGCTGATCAAGCATGAAAATGAACATTTCTGCCCTTAAAAGTCTGTGTTATCTTTATGTTCAAAAGAGGCATTTATATTGGAAAGAACTCTTGTCATGAAAAAACCAATAAACACAAATAAGAACATATCACATAACCTTCAGTGAACTTCATTACTAGTCTTACTACAAGGAACTAATACTGGGAAATAGGAATATGAATGACCATTTCAGTGCTTCTTTTGATTTGCTTAGCACAAAAACTTGGTAGTACCTCTGGAAGAGATGCTCTTTAATACATGTAATCAGGTTACTACTCACATGTGCTACTCTTTGGGTAGTGGTGTATATATATGTACAGAAGAATTTACTGTCATATCAACTAAAAACAATAATTTTTGCCTGTTAGTTGAAATATTTCACTTGCACCTTTTTCCAGAAAAGGGAAAGAAATTTTTTTTTCTAATGTTTTTGAAAGAAATTTTAAAAGAGAACTTTTTTTCTAAGTTTACTCACTGAGTTGAACTTTATGTAACTAGTTTCCATGCATATAAGATCAACTATATTTTCCTTCTATGCCACAAAACATTGTTCTTTAAAAAATGCATTGTTTTCAATTCAGGCTGCTTCAGGCTGAAAAAATTTAGAAACCATTTTACAGTGTGAGACAGGATAAACTAGAATGGCACATACCTTACATGAACACATACATAGACACACCAAAGAAATACCTGAAGGACAATTGTGTTGCCAGTGCCAGCTTAAGTAATCAAATCTTGTTGATCCACCAAGAATGAAAAATATCAAGGTTTTTTGTTTGTTTGTTTATTTTTGCTGTCAGATATCTTGTTTTTAAATACTGTGATAATGCTGAAATCTCCATTCTTTCAGAATTTCAGAAGCTGACAGTTCTGAGCATGCTGCATACTGCTGTATTGAAGTGACTGAAGCAAAGCCAAACATCATAGTTGTCATCATATTCCTGAATTTCCATTTTTTCCCCTGGCCTGTCATTGGAACAATTTGTCTTTTTCAGAAAATGCTCCCTTTCCAAAACACCCCTCAAACAGAACAAGCTGCCAGGAAGACTGAAAGGCACATACAACATGGTCATGATAGATTGTAATGAGTGCTGTGGGTGTTAGACATTACAATGGGTGCATTTGGTGTTCCAACTCAATGGTACTTCTCAAGATGATGTTTTTCCACATGGTTACTTCCAGTCTGCATTGTACATTATAAATAAGGATTTTCTGGGAAGTATATTTGGCATACTGAACAAGGAGGTACGATAATGTTATATTAGCAGGCCCCTGGTATCACTCATTTCTCTACCATTTCATTACTGTTTTTTCCTGCATTTCATTCAGACTGCATTTATACCTGAGGTGATATTTCTATAGGTTACATATATCTACCATATATAGCATGTGGCATTTCAACAAGGCCAGTCCAATTTCTTTATGGCAATTTTAGAAGTTTTTTAAAAGGATTTAATGTTCATATCTAGATTTACCATGTTTAATTTCATCAAAGTAGAGGATTTACCCAAGTAACAAGCAATTTTATCATCCCAGTATCATTATAGTTAAAGGGAGACATTTTGGTAAGCTACATGCACACATGGACTGTGTGCTTATAATCATGTTATGAATATGAGAAGTGCTGCTTTCCACATTTCCCATGCCTAATAGAAAAACACCTTGCACCCTTGTGATGGTTTGAGAGACTGTCTCCTGTGACTCCCCCCACTCAGGAGGGGGTGCTCTCTGGGAACACCTCTGTTTGGTCAGAATCCCTTGAGGAGTACCTCAAGCACAGTCTTGTGCAGCAGTTCAAATTCTCCTCTGACCCCCTGCTGGGGGCTTCCCTATGGCATTTTTTCACAAAGAAGCACGGGAGTCTCTGCCTCTGCATGGATTACAGGAAGAAGAAGGTCATCAGAGTGAAGAACCAGCACTCCTTGTCACTCACTCTGAAGTGCTCTGAACATCTGCAGTGGGTTCTGCTGCCCTCTATGGTGGATCTATAAGGAGCCACTATGAGCATCCTCTGATGCCATTCAGTCTCTACAAAATTCCAGTATTCTGTAAATGCTGTTATTAGAGACTTTCTTCATAGCTATGCTATGGAATACCTGTATGACATCCTGATTTTCTGCACCTCTACAGAGATATCCATTAACAACCTTTTCAATGACTTGCAGCAGTGTTAGCTGCACTGATCAGAAGAAATGCTGCTTTGACAAACACAGGGTGGAGTTCCTGGGGTAACACTGAGTTGCACGTAGACTCCACGGACACTGATGACATCACAAGTTGGCAGCATCTTCTAGCAAGGCGCAATGGTCTTCAGGATTTACCATATTCTAAAGATAGTTCAGGAAGGGGACTTCTGGTTTGCAGCTGCCATAACAGCACTCACCCAAAAGAGGGCTTGACTTTTATGGATGCCTGACACACAATAAGCTTCTCAAAAATGGGTATTCACTGTAGCTTTTATCCTATACTGACTCTTTTAGTGCAGATCCAAATGCTTTAACCTGTACCTGCTTCTCTAACTCATCCCACTGAGAGGAATTATGCCTGACATAATGAGCTCCTGTTAATCAGATCTGACTTTTGAGTACTGAAAGCACAGTTGTGAGGGAGCAGAAGGACTGAAAATGGTGATGACCAGCCTCCCAGCCTGGAAGAGTATTGAGGGATTGTATCTATCTATCTCTGCTTTGCCTCCTGGCCCCCCTTCTTTTTGTCCTTCCTTTTCACTTTCATTTGTCATCTATGAATTTCATGGCAGATACCTTGTCATGGAAGAAGGACCCAGATTTGGCTGCACACCTCATACACAGACCTGGTCTTTTTCTCTGCTTCACTTCAGCTGTGGCAGAGGATGAGCTCAAGGCCAAAATTCAACAGGTCACAGCAAACAGCATGCTTCTGGCTCAGCATTGTGATAGCACAGCATCAACCAACCTCTAAGCAGGCAGGCAGATACCTCACAGGGACTGCTGAAAAGATGGCTCTTCCACTGATGCCACAATGCATCTGAAACTGGAAATGAGCTTCAGCACTTTTGTATCCAGTCCTGTGGGTAATACATTGTACAGACATGTGTGGTTGATTATATTTGGGTCTGTAATATCTGTAGTTGTACCAAAAGGCTTCTGCAAAGACCACAGGGTGATGTATAGCCATGGTAAGAAAGGGGGGCTGTGATCCCTCAGTGGTACCTTAAGATCTGTCTCTAATCAAGCTAAAGATGTAAACACCTCTGTTGTTCCTACAGCTCTCATTGCAGGAGGTGGGTAGGAAAGACAGATCAACATTTCCGTGTCTGTCTCTCCCCCCATCCCAGATCATGGGTACAAAGGAGGAGAAAAGAACTTTCATTTCCATGCTTTCCATTTTCTGGATTGGAAAATGGTGGCCCTGCCATTTCCCTGGTGCTTTGAATAAACGGTGCCGTAAGGAGAATAGAAAGCTGCCATGGAGCCTTTGGAGAGATCTCCTCCAGCTGTGCAGGTTGCTGGACAGAGAGCTCCTTCTTACTTTTTTACTGCAGTCTTAATTTTTGAAATTTATTATCTCTCATCACTTTTTCAGTGCCCATATGGTAAGCAGAAAGGAAGAGTTAACAAAATATCTGTTGCATAAGCACACACAATTTGATGGACAGTTTCTTTTCTCCTTTGTATGTGAGATGCTCTATTCAAAACTAAATTTTAAACAGTATTTTATTTACATAACCAGTGCATCTCTACCAAATTATGGCTTTCATATTATTCAGTATTAAATTTATAATTTCTTTTAACAAATAATTTTTTTCCATGAGACCTTCTCTGCTTTTCTTGATGTCATGACCTAATGTAAGAGAAAAATCTTTGTGCAACACTGTTTCTATCAAAGCATCATAATTAGCACTAAAAGTGCCTTAATCTTTATTCTTCATAATGAGACTGTATCTTCTAACATTTTTCTTGGCTTGCTTACTCCCTTCATTCTGCATTGCTCTTTCTGACTTGGTCAGACTATTTTTCTAATTGGAAAAATGCAAGCTGTCTAGTGCATACTCCATTAATTACTAGTTTTAGTCCACAGTTTGCAAAAAGTCTTGGCAAATTGTCAATAAAGAAAAAAATGTCCATTGTAAAAAAGAGAAAAAAGAGTTTTCTGGTGAATTTTCTCAGCCTGTGATTTTGCACACTGGAATAACTATTATTAATAGATAAGAAAATATAGGTAAGAAAAGATACGAAAACGTTCACCATTTTGATTGGACTATAATTTCTCTGGAAAGGTCACATATACTTAAATTAAACGCCAGCAAAATCTTCACAGTTGCACACAAAAGGTGCAGAAACACAATATGAAAACAAAATTGTGGAAAAAATAAACTGGAGATGAATATGCAAAATAAAGTAAATTTTAATGGCACCAACTTTCTGTAATACAAACTGTGAGGTGCTATTAGCAAAGTGAGTAAAGATAAAAAGAACACTAATCTTGTAAACACAGAGAAAAATTAGGAGATGATGTAAACAGAATACTAAGAAAATAACAGTTTTGTTTTTTTGGAAGCTCAAGTCATGGCTTTTCGAAGAATATTGGAACAGAATTCTGTGGTTGTGCCTAGTCATGTGGAAATTTGATTACTGCAATGACCATTTATGATTTCTGCCCTGCCAGACTGACAGTGTCAGCTGTTAAGTGTACAGGTCCCTGTATCCAGCACTGGGATTTTGATCACACAGCTTTGTTGTTGCTGTTCTTACACTGCCCAATGGCAACCTCCTGAGCTTTGGCTCTGCAGCATTTTGTACTGTAACATTTCAGGCTGACATTTCTGGTGTGGCACCTGATTCCCTGCTCCTGCAGACAGTACCCCTGAGCTTCCTCCATGGGCAGAGTTTTCATGGTGCTTTTTCCCTCTATCAGCCTGCAGTGGTTCAAGCCCAAGTGGAAAATAAGCACTATGCAGCCGCTCCCTGAACCCCCCTCTCTCCCTTGCTCTTGCACAAATTGCTCCTCATTATGCCCTTCTGACATAGGAGGGTGCTAGGGATACCAGTCACTGTCAGCTGAACCACCACCAGACCTTATTCCCAATTCATAGAATATCAGATGAAATTGGAGAAAAGCTTTGTATTTCTCTTAATGCACAACTGTAATTTTGCTCTGTCCTTAAAATGTCCTCACAGGCTTGAAAAAATCTGTAAGCCCTGCATTTCCCACATATATCCAGATAATATAAAATTCATTCTGGCATATAAGAACAATTTTCAATTTTTAGACAACTGGATTTATTAGATATGCATAAGAAGAAAGATACTTGGCATGCACTGTCTGTGGCAATGTCTCACACAGACTCTCCTGGATTCTAACATACCTACCTACCACCTTGCAAGTTACACAGCCCTGTTAGAATGAACAGAAAATATTTAGGTCTGGGAGTCAGATTCAATCTAGACTTTGAGCTCTAGGTCAGAGAGCTTGCTTTAAGTACCATCTGCACCTCAGGCATCTCCAGACACAGCACAGGACATTTTCCCCTGTTTCTCCAAGGATTGAATGACCTTCTGCATGACAGTCATTCAACTGATTCTTTTAACGTTTTAGTTAAATGCAAAACATTTCTCAGAGTCATTTCCCACTTGATACAATCCACAAGGCTACATCTGTTATTCTTTCCTAGTACTGCCCCCTGGTACATGAAGGACAGATGATAAATCTGGGCTAGATTGCATCTGGCTTTGCAGGGGCTTGCAGTGAATCAGACAAAAGGGTACAAGGAACTCCTCCTGCCTTCTTGAGCATTCAGTCAAGGGGCAGACACAATCTCATCCCTGATTTAGTAGAGCTCTGAATGTGCACAACTTTTGTATTTAATATTTATAGAAACACTGAGTGCCAAAAAAGGATCTAAGGCCATGGTCAGCAGTGGAGTTAGGCAACTTTTTTTATGAATTTCACTTAGAAATACAATCCAGAAGAGACCAAAAATACTAGGATAAGTAATTTGGATTTCTTGACTAGATTTACTCCACACTTCAAAACAAAAACACCAAGTAAAATATTTTCCTTGCCCCTCAAATAAGAATAATACAATGACAATAAATTAAGTTATTCTGTTTCAGTTGTCCTTGTGTCTTCATTTTATTTTTTAATTTGACTATAAAATTAAAAAACAAAACCAAAACAAAAAAAACCCACACAACTTTTTTACACAGTACATGCAATGAGAAAGGCCAGTGTTTAAGGAACACAAATTGTACTTTTTAAAAAGAACAAAGGAATACAGCACAGTAAAGGTCCACCACACCTCAGAATATATCAATTTCATCCCTCTCATACAGCACTACTGCCAATCACATTAAAATTTGAATTGAATTTCATTATACTGTCTTATTTTCATTCTCTTATTAAGAGGCTAATCCAAAGCCTGCTTCCATTATTAATCAGAAATATTTTAAGTTCACAATTGTCCATAGCTACTACTATCATCCAATTGATCTTGTACCAGTATTGTCTTTAAAACAATTCATTCCCTTTGGTGTTTACTTTCTAGCCTATCGTGCAATCATCTGCCTTCACAGGCTTGTTCTCTAGACAGGGCCACAAAGCACAAAGTCTCTGTATTTTTCTGTTTGGTTTTATTTTTGTTTTTGTTTTGGGGTTTTGGTGTTGTGGTTTGGGTTTTTTTTTCAAAAAAGAAAAAACCTCAGTGTATTTTACAAAAGTGCTTTAATATGATTATTATAGTAACCTTTTTCTGTACATTTTCCACTTGGAAATAACCTTGAATGGTGAATATAATTAAACTTAGGATTATAGATGAAGTTTCATTTGTGTCTTGTGCAATGGCATTATAGCTTCTTTAATCCAGGATATGGTTCTTCTGGTGCTTCCAAGGGCCAGTAACATTTAACTTATCACAACAACTCATATTTATTGGAAGGGCTGATGCAGAAGTGGTGGAGTTAATAACAAAAAAAAGGAGTGTACTCCTGAGGAGTTAGAGGAAACTATTATAATAAGACTATTAGCTTTGAGTTAAAAGAAAAAACAAACAAATAAAAGACAAATGCTCTTGGTAAGGCTTTGGGTCAGATAAACTAGATTAAAATAATATTTGTTTTAGCCTCAGGAGAAGACAACAAGCAAACTGGGAAATAAGAGTTATTACAGTTAGAAATGGATAAATATAAAGAAGATTAGCTAAGTAGTTTAAACCAAATAATCAAGGATGGAAACATTTCTTCATTGTGTTTATGAGGGTATAATGGAAAGCAGGAGTTATTTGAAGTTCTTTCCTCAGTGTCTTCCAATATGCTTTTGGATTGATTAGCCACCAGTGATTCTAATATGGATATAGAGCCCACTACAGTTCAACATCATCTCTCAAACAGAACCATTTGAGCACATAAAGCTTTCCGTCAGGATGCTGAAACATTGAGACATGTTGCCATTGCTATTCAGCATTACTTGTACTGAAATCAAGTCCAAAGTAATTTAATTTGAAGGCAAAAGTTGTAGTACTTTGAATGCCTTTAGAACAAAAATGTGTGATTTTTTCCACTTTTCATTATTTAAGTTTGTAATTGCATGGTCAATAAGCACATTGGCCCCATAAAAGTTTCATTTCAGTTTGACTTCTGGAAATCTTCATTTTATTCTACAAGAAGTGAGCTTTTGTATCCTTTGCAGTTTCTCTGTTTAATCTTAATGTCTCATTTGTATTGGTTATTTATCCAGTTTTGAGCTTTTCTGCAATGTCTTCTAGCTCTCTGCTTGAGATACATGTTCAAGAACAATTTTGGATGTGCAAGACAAAGGACTTCCAGGCCTCTTTCACATCTGAGTCAAATATTAATCTGAGTTCTGTTGCCTGTATGAGTAACTTCTACATTTTATCTTAGCTTTCCTCTTCAAAACT